GCTGAGTGATGTGCTCAGCTGGAGGACCCATGTTTCCAGGAGCTAAATAACTCAGGGGATCAGACAGCGAGATCTCCAACGTTTCACCAACAGTTGCAGCAGTAGATCCGATTCATGCAACTGCTGCAATGAGTTTTTGCTCTTGTTAATTTGGACAGCTCCTCATGTTGGAGATGTAACGGGTTTTCATTTTGGGGGTGCTGTGGAGGTCAAAGGTTGTCTGTTCGTTCTTTGAGTTTGTTTTGTTTGGTCGGGAAGATGTTTCTCCAGAGATTTGTTGATGTTTAAAGATCTGGTAACTGATAGCTCGGCCCATTTTTCTGACCTCTCAATGGCTTTCATACTGTAGACTACAAATGAACTGCTGTTAAGCTGGAAATTATTCAAGCTTAATTTGGCAGCTTTTTTTTATTCTGATTCTGTGCATATAAGGAAAGGCGCCTTTACTCTCTTTGGCGATTAAAACTTTCCAGATGCAACTTAAACTATTTCTCAATGTCCTACATGCTTGGAAATAGGACCAAAAGTGACACAAGTTCATCTGAAGTCATCTCAAAGCAGTTAGATAACGCTTTATCCCGATCTGATCAGCCGTGCAGCCAGTTTCCTTTGTCAGCTTTTCCCCACCCAGGGTGGGTTTTTCTTCCATCCTAAAGTTCATTGTCTTTAAGCTTCAAGCTGCTCACGCCCACAAGAAGAATAACACAATGCCACCCAAACCTTTTGATGCCAGTGGTTGTTGGAAAATGAAATATCAAGAAAATGCTAAGAGTGGGTTTCCTTGGCGTGACATGTCTCGATTATATGTCGACTCCTTGAGCCAAGAACAGCTTCGATATCTTGTTGCAGTCGATAAAAAAAATATATTTCCAAGCGTTTTAACCGTGTCAATGAGTTGCTTTATTTATGAAACAAGTTTTTTTTTTTTAAACCACCAAAAGATGTTTTGCACTAAAAACTTGCAGATGTTTATTAGAGTTAGAAATAATTGGTGCTTTTAACAACTTAATTGATCCGTTCTACTTCTCAAGTTGTTTTTTATAAACTAGAATTGGGTTTGCAACTTAAATTGTTTTGTGGATTAGAGGTAACATGGCCAAAATTTATCCATGAATGCTTTATTATTTACAACCGTCAAAAAGCTCCTAGTGTAATTCTGGTTGGACGTGTAGATCAATTTCTTAATAGAACAAGTAGAGCTCAGGTCAATCGATTGATTTCCTGTCACAGATACAGATGAATAAAATAACAGTTTCTAGTTAGTGTCCATGTCTGTTTGTGATCATTGTTCTGTTATCATCCGATTTGTTTTTATTAAAGCTTCATCTGTTTGACACAAACTGATGCCGTCACATGAAAAGAAAAGGTTAGGATGATAAAAAAAAAGAAACATGCAGGCTTGACGGTAGAAGATGCTGGAGCAGCAGAAATATCCACTCAATAAAAGATGAAATTACCTCGACCGTAACGCTGAAAAGTGGCTAAGAAAAAGGCGAACACACATCCACATAAAGTGATCTACCCAAATGTGTGTGAAAGGCGGCTGGGATGAATCGGTTGGGATGACCAAGTGGCAGAAACTTGGACACACCATCAAGGTGTTCCAACATGATGCCAAACACACATCAAAGCTGCGTTTTCAGAGGACAAGACAGACTAAAATTTACCGTTTGGGATGAACCTGGCCAAAAGTACCAAAGATAAACAACAGAATACAGCCATGTGAAGAAGCAGCCGAAAACTTGTATTGGTCTGCAGAGCCCCTAAAGATCTGCAGAACATTTTAAGACAAACAGGAAGTTCTTCTTCTTCTTGGAGGAAAGTCATTAAGAAATTAAAGGTGGCTTAAAACCTCTGCTCAGAACAGTAAATCACTCAAAGGAACTAATTTTGTCAACATGCATTTTTTTCCCTAAGGCTATTAACTCATTAAGACTCATTAAATTCTGACAGTAATCAGTAATTTGATGGCAGCTCATTAGCAGCAAACAAATGATGTTGTGCTGAAGTGTCAGGACTTCTGCGTCGAGGCGCGGGAGCTGCAGCTGTCAGCGGAGCATCGTGTTCCTCTGCCCTCCACCTCTCTGAAGGAAAGCACAGATAGCTGCCACAATTAGGGCTGAGTGCGGCTTTCAGCAGCCCACTCTGCGTGCTCAACGACCGACCCTGCATGACTTCTCATCGTCCGACACTGCCGAGTGGGTGGAAAACATCTCGAAGGACGCAGCTCCACGGAAGTGACACGCAATTTAGTGGCGAGGAAAGGTAGATTTTATCTGCAGCTCGAGGCCTCTTTGACATCGCATATGTCAGGTCAGGTAAAACCGATCCGATGTCTGAAGGCAGAACACCGGGATGTGAATGTGTTTCTAGTATAGACTGAAATCGGTCGCAGTCTGAAAGTCTGTCTCATGGACCTCAACACATTTTCTCATGTTACGACCCTTCTATGTGCTTGTTGTCTGTATGCCACCCCCTTTTCCTCAGCTTCCACTAAATAAAATCCAGTGCAACCAGCATGCTTTCAGACATCAGGTAACAACTGCGCACAAATCACCATCGTCCACCAAACTGATGCGACCAAGAGGCCATTTTGTAACTCTGGAACAGCTTCAGATTTCTTTTTTATATAAAGAAAAATGCACAAAATAATTTTACTGTGTTCTTCTTTTAGCTACCAACAGATTAACATGCATTGTTCTCATAAAAGGAACAAAATCATCAAAGCTTTCGTAGGAAAATTCATCTGAAAAGGACAGTACATTTAAAAAAAATATGCAACTCGTCAAAATCGGTGAGTGTCTGTGTCAAAGTCTACCATTGAGTAAACGATACCGGATGTTTGTGTTCTTACTTATTGTGAAATTAGAATGAAAGGGTGAAAAATGTGGTTAGCAAAAAAATCAACACATTTTACATTTTATCAATCAGTTTCCATTTTACTGCACAGTAGAAATTGCACCCTAGAAAGATGTTTGAAATATCTCCTTTTGAATTTAAAAAAAATGCTATCAGTTGAGATTTTAGGGATTAGGATTAGGCACAGTACAAAATTATTTCAAGGGCCACAAATTGTGTCAAAGTCCAGACCTGCATCCAAATGAGAACAACTGAAAATACCTAACTAAGAGGTTCCCTCTACCCAGACAGACGAAACTTGAGCTATTTAGCCAACAAGGACAGAGGAGCAGAAATTTCAGCCTGGATGTGCAAATAAATTACACTGCTGCCTGATCTTGAGTGTGTGTTTCTGCGATGTTCTCTCTGGGCTCAAATTGAACGATGAACAGCCAAGTCTTCTCCATGTACATGGAAAGGCGTGCCTGCCGGGTTGCATAAGAGTGAAAGCGGAGACCTTTGACCCCCCCCACAGCCAGAGAGGGTACAGCAAATCACCACCGTAAATTATAACCCACTGCTGTTTTTCGAGCAACTTGTTCACTCCTCCTCGCCGGCTGATCTTATGTTGAAACTCAAGACACGACGGCGTCTGGTTATCGCTGTGGTGTCTGGCTGCAAGGAAGAAAAGGCAGAGAGGTTGGCTTTGTCGTGTGTTATGATAGTAATCTGGAGATTTTATTTGTACTCTGTGCATTTCCTGGTTGTTGTTTCTCGCAACAAAGTGAACCGAAACAAGGCAAAAGTCAGAATGAAATCAATTTCAGTGGAAGACATCAAGAGCAAATAAATCGTCTTTGCACATTATTTCAACCTTTTAAGCAAAAATATATGGAGAAAATGTTATGTTTTTTTTTTCCCCCTTATTTTTTTCTTCTTCACTTTCAAGTCAAAAAAAGGGGGTGGGAGGAATAAACAAACTATTTACAAAACGTTTTCCAGACAGCTGTACAAATTTAAACTTTTGTGTTTCTTCAGGAAGATCTGACCTCAGTGCAGAGGAACCACCCTTTGGTTTCCAGAGACAGCCGGTTCTGCACAAGTCAGCGAAACATATGTATTGAAAAAAATAATAAAATCAGCTGAAATGGGCATCAGGTGCACAAAGCTAACCCACATAGAGCTTTTGGTTTGACTAATGGTGAGGAGAAAGTCATTCGTCTCAGCCAGGGAGAGAATCAGGAGTCCTAACTACAGGCTTTATTACTTATCTACCATGAGAAATACAAACAGTGAAGATGAACCGTTTAAAGTGTCTTATAACGGTACTTTAGGCAGCTATTATGAGGTTTACGGCCTGGGTTTAAAGTGCCTGTTTCTGTGGAGAGGCCAAATTTAATTCAGCAAATGATCTGGAGTTACATCAGCAGGTCATTTCATATCGGGAGTCTTATTTACAGCAAGTATGAAACACCTAGTTGATCACCCCACCCCCTTCAAATCACATTAACAAATCAATGTGATTCTGTTTTTTTCTTCTTCTTTTTTTTTGCCGTTGTTTGTTTCCAATGTGAACAGATTGTGATGAGAACTGCTCAAATTTTGAAATGTTGCACATTTTAAATAACAGCATAAAATCTCCCGTCATGATGATGTCAAGTCAATTTAAAGACAAACACATTTCTATCAAAAAGTGAGCCCTGTTTCTTGTTGGAAAATATTCAAGGATTAGGATGTTTTGTTAAAAATGTGCACGCTTGATATTTCTTTTCTTATTCCTATAATCCATCATTATGTGTTTCATAACATTTCTCCTTGTTTTTGTGTGGTTTTCTGTATTTTTTTCACTTTGGGCATTAGCTGAACGAGACGCCACCTCACCTCTATAATCAAAGATGAAGAGAAGTAAAACAAACAAAAAACTTATTCTACATTTCCCTGTCTCCCCTACTGTGAAGCCTTCTTCAGCAGCAAACTGTGTTGTGATTCCTCGGCAGAAGATCCCCTTGTGTAATTCTTCTGAAAGCTGGAAGCTTCTATGTTAGAGGTTGAGCGTTATTGGCACAGTCTTTCATTTTGCTGGACTAGTTCAGGGGCTCTGGGGGCCCTTTGGTTGGATGACATGTCCTGATTAAAAGAAAACATCTCCAAAATGCTACAACTGCATTATACTAGCTAATTTTTTTTTTTTTTTAAAGAAGACATTATCTTTTATTTTTAGTGATTTGGTATTTGTTGCATTTTGGCTTTGAGCAGTTACTCTTTTAGTAAGAACCCAGTCAAGAATGTGCTTGACTGGGATTTTGTGATAAAACAACACAAAGTAGAGCATGATGGTGAAGTGGGAAGAAGTTTTTGTTCGTTAGAAATAGGTCTGGACTACTTTGAGATGAGGTGACAATGTGGAAAAGCTCTAGATAATGTGTGTGTGTGTGTGTGTCTGTGTGTATTTGAGGCTGCGAGTGATTTTAAGATGTGTATTAACATATAGCAAGGAGATTCTCTAGTTAATTTATCATTTATGTTTTTGTCCCCTTTATCAAGTTATTGGCATGACTTTGAGTCTTTGTATGATGCTGAGAAGAAAATTTGTTTGAATAGTCTACAAATTTGGCTTCAGTGCAGTCATGTCATTTTGCAGCTGCATGTAGTCCAGTTGAAGCTGTGAAGTTTTTCTCAAAATACATACGTATATGTTTATTTCATGCACTTTAGATTTAAGATCCTCGTCAGTAGGACAGTTTTCAATTGCATCTAATAAAGCTCATGAACCATCTCAAAAGGAAGAAAAAGTTGTGCATCCTGTGACGTTTTGAATTTATTCCTCGCGTGGCCGGCGTGGCGTACCACTGGTCTTCAAACTGTAATGTCCTCATCGGTGTCCCAGTGTCTGACACCGATGTTGTGAATGACATTCACAACCCGACCCACTTCAGCCATGACAGCCCTTCTGTCAGCAGACAAAAGGTTAAAGTGCAGATTCTCTTTGAGAAGATTGTTGAATGCGGTCAGTCGGGATTAGCTCCGACGGACAACTTTTGTCTTTTTCCGTCTCTGCGTCTCCATCCACATCCTCATCCCTGCTGATGAAGACCAGCTCGTTCTCGTAGCAGAAGGAGTTGGCGCCAGATGTTGGGAATTTCCTCTCCTCCATGTCTTTGGCGCTGCACCTGGGCGTGGACGGCACCTCGAAGGTTTTGTGAAAGTAGGCGTAATCGATCCTGTACTGGCTCCGCTCCTCGAAGACGATGGGCTCGAAGCGGTGGCCCCACAGGATCTCAGATGGCAGGTAAGAGCTTCGCGCTTGCGTCGTCATGGCCGTTGCCTCCACCAGTCCTTCCAGGATGATCACAATCTCGAAGTCGGACATTTCCAGGTCTTGCTTGCTGATGCCAAACAGGGGACTCTCTTCGTCGATCTCATGGATGACGGTGAGGGGAGCGACCAAAAATAGGCGGTCAGTGCCTTTATCATAACCAACATTCATGTCGATTTGATCCAGGGGGATGTACTCGCCCTCCTCTGTGTAGCGGGGCTTCACCATCTGAGCCCGAACATGAGCCTCCACTATGTGGCTCTTCCTCAGGTTGGCAACCCTGAACATGAGGCACAGCTTCCCATCCCGCATGGCGATCACCGCGTTGTGGCTGAACAGCAGAGTCTCTGCACGCTTCTTTGGCCGTGCCATCTTGGCCATGATGGCACCGATCATGAAGGCGTCGATGATGCAGCCCATGATGGATTGGAAGACCACCATAAAGACAGCTGCTGGGCATTCCTGCGTCACGCAGCGAGCTCCATATCCGATCGTCGTCTGGGTCTCGATGGAGAACAAAAAGGCCGCCACGAAGGTGTTTACCTGCGTGACACAGGGAACAAAATCCCCTCTGTTTTTCTCCATGTCACCATGCAGGAGGCCGATGACCCAGAAGGCCAAGCCGAACGTCAGCCAGGACACCACAAACACCAGGCTGAACAGCAGGAACATGTACCGCCAGCGGATGTCCACGCAAGTAGTGAAAATGTCTGACATATATCTCTGGGATTTCTCGTCCATGTTCGAGAAGTGGATGTTGCACTGGCCGGTCTTGTTGACAAACCGGCTGTGGCCCTTGCGTCTTGTGTGGATCTTGCCATTGCCAAAGCTGCCCACGGCCGGCATGACGCTGAGTCTGAGTCCTTCTTCTTCAAGGGACAGAAAGCTGCGGTGGTGGTGGGCCCTTCCTACGCTCATGCCACAGTGAAACGCACCCGGGGGGCTTCAAGTAACAAGCCTGGCTCATGCACAGCTGAACCCTCTCACAGAGGTGCGCAGCTCTGTTTGGTGACAACTTGGTATCAGTCGTCAACTTCTGGGAAAGAAAGGACAGGCAGAATGTTATTATCACCGTGTACAAAGATGGAACAGACAAGACAAAAACTAAGAGTGTGATGAGAAACATTTAACCAGTTGAAGGCGCTTATTTTGATGTGTTACTTTAGTCCAAATGTTTCAATTCCAATGTTCAGGCTTCATTCTCTGAATAACCGTGACAGACATATTTCAGTGTTGTTAGTGTCAAACTTTGACGTTTTCCTTCGCCCTCCAAAACGTCCTTTTGTCAACAATCAAAGTGTTGATTTGCGTCTGACTTTCTTGATTCTCCTCTTGCATGATCGGAAATACTCTGGTTCATACTATAAACATTTCAAAGCTCATCAAGGTACAGAAATAGCCAGCTAATTCAATGCCCTGCCACTTTATGTGACGTATCTTGTTTTTCCTCCAGCTGGCACAACTATTAGAGGCACTGGAGTACCGCGATGAGGCTGAGTGATTCCCTTGCGAGGTCGAAGTGGAACGTAATAGGGGCTAAAAAAAGATGGGGCAGAAAACTGGGTATTGAAACAGAGGTCAGCTCAGACACAAGTGGTTCAATGGCAACATTCAAAGTGATCACCAAAGACATTTAGGAAGAAAAAACAAATGGTTTAAAACACCGTATTGCCATTTATGTGCTTTAGAAAGTTATTAACTTGACTTATCCTTAAAGTTTCAGGCAGCTAATGACTATTGAATGAGTTAGTAGTAATTGAGATTTAAAAAAAAACTGTCATATTATCCATTTCGAAGCTGAGATAATGCTGTTCTTGCAGACATTCTTTCATATCTTTAAAACTAGGTAATTTCACCTTTTAAGAAACAACCCAAAGGCTCTGGATCCATGTTAGCCTTTGGTATAGTGTGATTAAAGAAAGGTGGGTTTCATGTTTTGATGTTGCTTAGAACTGTTTCAGAAACTGAACTTATAGTCACTGGCTTTCCAGTGGGAATTTCTAAACTCTTCATCAGACTTTTATTTTATTCATACACTCTGTATTGAGCTAAAACTATTTGTCTCTTTCCTCTATCCTGTTTTATTTTTTTCTTTTTCATATTACAACTCTTCTGTAGCCTCTAACAAGTTTTCCTAAAGTAATGCCTTTACCCCCAGCGTTTCTGTGCTCAAGAAACCGTCAATGCGACGTGACCCTGATTTATTTTACAGGAAGACAGCTACCTGAATCTTCCAGCTCGAAGTGCACAGAAATTGTTTGAAGATTACAAGGTGGATGTTCTGGAGTGACCTAGTCAAAGCCCAGACCTCATTTCAATAGGGAATTTGTGGTAGGACCTGATGAGTGAAATATCCAAACTATACTTTTTAGAACCATCGCATAAAAAAAAATTGTAAGAAATAACCCGACAAATGTCTTGTCTTTTATTGAATAACTGGGATCAACTTTTACAAATAATTGTAAATTCTGTGATGTTCTTGTACAAAGAAGCATTTAAAATTTTACATAACAAGCCAACAAAGTGGCATCCTTATAAAATTCAGAAAAAGTATAATCCGTTCAACTTTGAGAGACTGCAATTCAGTAAGATGCTAACATAATTCAGACAATCGTTTCTCTCATTTTGATATAGTTTACATATATTAAAACAACTAACACTAGACCTTTTACATTTAATGTGAAAAAGCAGCTAATGTGTGAACACTGAAACTTGTTCAACTTTTCACTGCTCAATATTTATTTTCTAAGTCATTTTATTTGAGTACATTTTTTTGTTTTTTTTTTCACCATTAAATTCTTATTTTACTATTAGTATTACTTGTCATTGATATGTTGTTTTTATGGTTGCACTAATATCAAAATTTGGGCCAATATCGATGTCCAATATCTGGCATTGATAGTACTGTTTACCAATACTACACATATTTCCCTACACTTTCGACACAGTGTCAAAGTGACCACAGTGTCTGCATTGCTTCTCTGCTTCAATTAAACATCCTCTATAGTTACATGACTGAACAAATAGCCAAACCTTCCAGCTCCTGGAACACAAACGGCAGAAAAGATGGAAATCAGTATCGATTGTTTCACTTATTAGGCAGACATTGATTTGTTAAAAAAAAGACTATCGTCAGCCAATAGCAGTGTTGATGCCAGTGTAACGTGTATCACCAGTTTCTTTGTGATAACAGCTTTAAGGGCTAATGTCTTCACGTCTGCGACTTAACCTTTGGCTAGAGAACAAGAGTTCAAGAGAGGAGTTGACAAGAGTTTAATAAATTGGACAAAAACTACAGGACTTCTTAATTTGTAAAAATAAATAAATAAATAAAATAAATGAATAAAAATCTGGTTTCCTGTTTTATTCCCCCAACAATCCACTCCTGCAAAGCATTCTGTTTGTCAGATTGAAGTTTGTGGTTCTTGAAAAAAATGTGGATTGAAGTGTAAGAATGATTTATTTTGTAAGACACACAAGACATTTAGTCTGTATGACTAAATGCAGATACATATTTCATCCAAAAAGTTTTCTTCATATTAACATAGGAAGACGTGAAAATACCTGGACATCTGCTGGCCCCCAGACAGGATGGAGGCAGAACGTTTAAGGAGTCACCTTGGTGGAGAAATGGCTAAGTATCGAATGATGGCATTTGGTAACAAAATGCAAATGTTCACTAAAAGCCTACGTTTAGGTTTAAACATACTGTTTTTTCTGAGTGATAAATGGAGAGACTAAATTCATTTCTAAAAGCTGTTAGAAAAGAAGAAAAAAAACATTTTTTTGTTTGCATAACAAAAAATGAACTCTTAATATCTGATCATTCTAGCAAAAAAGGAAAAAATGATTCCATCTTTTTGCTTTCTCTTATATTTCTCAGTTTAATGATGAAGGAATAATCAAATAAATCTATTGTGTGTGCGACATATATGTTCTTTTATTTGTTTTGACAAAGCTTCTTGGTGGAGTCCTGTTATCTGTCCTGCAAGTGTCACATTAATCTTGGATAACTCCCTGTTTCTACCCTTCATTTAACAGGTGCGTGTCATAAAAAAAAAAGTAGGGCAGGGACAAATTCACAGTACTGGGACAAGTACAAATATGTGTCAAACTACTCTTTGAATTATAACAGCCTATGATTTTTCTAGATGCTTTTAAACAACAGTTGCTGTTTCCTGATCGTCTAGTTGCTAGGAAGCAGAATGTGAGTTTCGGAGGGATATTATTTTCTAATTTCTTCGTGCCAAAGCTCGTCTGCTTTCTCACAAATCACACTCTGCCTGCTGTGCTGTTACATTAATGCTAAGGAGACGGCAAGCGTTTTCCTGCTCTGAATTGTTCTTTCTGAAAATATATTTGAGCTGTGAGATGAGCAATAATCCCATTATAAATCCATCCTCATGATGATGTTATTACAAGAAAAACTTACCTTTTGTTCATGTGCTCTTAATAAAGCAGATCTTTGTTTTTCCTTCTTTTCCAAAGCTTCCAGGTTTTTGTTTCTCACTTGCAAAATTGTTGCATGACTTTCCTCAAGCTCCTTTTGTCTTCTTCTCTTCTGTCAAGGGTAAAACCACTCTATCATCCCGAGAAAGCAAAGCAAATAATCAGTTAATATCTTCATGTTTCTGCCTGATTTAAAACAATCTATTTCTCCACCAGAGCTGGAGAGTGTCCCAGTATGTCCTGCTCTGCTCGATGTCCAGGGGTCCAAAAACAAACCCCCCCCCCAAAAAAAAACAAATAAAAAATTACAGAAATGCTGAAGCCAAGCTCTCAGTCATAATTTTTACTCTGAAAATAGAACAGCGGACTAATTAAATTAATTTATGGCCTGCTGGTCCGGTCCAATTAACAATTCGACTCATCACAGTTTATCCTCGCAGCAGCGCTGGCCGACAGTCTCTCGCTTTCTTAGTATAACTGCCATCTGATCTTGTTCTGCTGCATATCCCACTCCGTATCCCACATCTAGTGAACTATTGCTCACAGCTCATCTCCAGTCCTCCCCCTCCCTCTCTCGGTGTCACTGTAGATACTTGGCATTTGGAAATGACTACACGCTCTTCCTCGGTGAAGTGTTGATGGTCTACTGATGAGAACCGCTGATGAAAGGACCAACTGGTTCCGTCGGGTTTAACACCTGCAAGCATGAGCTAAACATGATGACCTGAAATGTTCTTATGAAACTGGGTTTTCCATACAGTATTTGAATAAGACTTCCAGAGTGATTGGTTTGGTTTCCGTTTAGACTCTTCTGGACATTGGAAATGTTCCTGTTGAACTTACAAAAAGCTGCTTTCTTAACTTTAAGTTTAATATTTTCCATAATATATTTATTATTACTAAAAGATGGACTCCCATGTTAAAATGGAAGGGTTTTTAAATGTATTAGACAAGTCTATGCAGGAAAAAGCTGAAAAAAAAATCAATCAACAACCTGGTTGCAAGTCTGTCCACAGCACACTTGCAGTCTCTTTTAATCTATGGTACAATTTATGATAATAAACTTGATAAACAACATCGACTCACAAAAAAAATCATGTTTCTCCAAAATTGATTAAAAAAACCCACTTCAGGGATCCCTTTAAAGAGATTGCGAGCATCACTGAAGGAGCTGCAGAAATTTTTAGGTTGGTACTGATTCTGTTTTAAATATGAAAACAATTTTCTATATTCTCCATATGTCCAAATGAACACGAGTTTGTTCTCAACAACAGGAACGAAGTCATTTCTGCTAATGAGACTTACTTGACAGGAACCGAAATGCAGAAAACTCTTTGGTGAGTCTCAAAGCTCCGTTTTACTGCAGGATTTATGTGTAAATTTGACTCAACCAGACACCAAAGGAGAGAACATTTCTGCCCAGACAATGTGTCCATCACACAGAACTAAATCCTTGCATGTTGTTCTTATATGGATAAAAAAAACAAGACATATGACTTGAATTTGATTTATTTTGTCTTTGCAAATTCAGCTTGTTTGAAGGAGGAGCTGTCTCAAATTTAGTCTGAAGTGGCCATGAGTGAGGATAATTTTGAGAAAAACTCATAAGCATTTTAAAACAACTTGAAAGCCATTGTTGCTTCCTTTGCAGATGTCCACTGTACAAAGTTACTGCCAGAACTGTAAATGGGTCACAAGTTCAGTTCGGAGACCAGATGGGGAGGATGATGTAAAGTGTGCCATCGGGACGGCGTGAACCCGGTTGTTGTGCACCATGTGAGTTATTTAAAGGCCTCCTCACTGCAGCAGCACAAACTGGTTCAGCCAGTTCCTGTGGTTGGTCACTCTTGATCACCTTTCAGATGACCAGCACACATCTGGGTTATTTTTATCCTTTTCAGAGCTGGCAGGTTTTACGGCATCAAATGTAAGAAAGAACAAAATTTCAAACGACGCCTTTCCTTGTTAGTCGGTAGATTTTATTGTTGTTATTAAAACAAATTTGTACTCAAAGAGTTCATTAGAGTTTTATATTCTACATTTTGTTATGGGTTAATACATTTAATATATTTTGAGACTCAAAACCCAAAGTAATTAAAGAAAACAACACACAAATCAAAATGAATGAACAAAGAATATTGTGGAAAAAAAATTTACAACATGTAAAAACTCTTAAACCTCTGTTTCTAGAAAAAAAAAAACATTGTAATCTTAATGATGAATAAAAATGAAAAATGTTTTTTTTTTAAGAATCTGTCCAGATTAGTAAAGGATTCATTTAATATCTTTTGGTCTACTGGTCAACTGTTATTGAATAATAAACTTTTAAAGTGTAACTTTTTTTCCCACCGATGAAAATAGCTTAACTTGCTAAACCATGCAAAAATGATCATAGGTATAAATAAATAATTGTTTTTAAATAAACACTGCTGGCCCATCTACTGGCATAATGTTTACAGCTGGTGTAAACATTATGAACAATGTGTTGAATCACATTTATCCTATTGGATCAAGGATCAAAGAACAATTTAAACATCGAAAATCTGTAAAAAAAGAAAAAAAAAAGTCTGTTCCTGATACAGTTTAATAAGATAAGTATTACAGCTATAGTTCTTCAAACATCAGTCAGGAGCATCATGCTCCAGGCAGCGGCTGCTGTTTCCAGCCAGGTGCCAAATTTATATTTGTCCTGAGTGAACAACGTGGGATTTATCCATTGTCATTCAAATGCTGATAAATCTAAGTTTGAGCAAACAAGTTGCATGTAGGTCACACTCCTCTGGACCTGATTTATTTAGATATTTTCTCTTTTTGGTGTTGTTGTTGTTTGTAACAGTGTCATAATAAAACAAAACAAACAAACAAGAATAAACTCCATTTCGCTGAATGTTTCATCCACAGCGTCACACAGGAAGCCGAAAATGACCGTCTGTGAGGTCCTTCCAGCTGCAGAATAAACACAGCAGCAGAGGTTTGGTTCTGGAGAAAGGCTACACTCACTGCTCCGACTACAGCCTCTACACCGGTTGCTGTAATTGATCTCTGCTTGACTAAATGGGCCACTTATTTTTACAGCCCGAGCAGGTGCACCTGCGTACCGGTGTTTACACCCAAGCTGCTGATCAGTCATGAAGACCTGGTTTGGTTGGGCAGCTTGAGCTAGAAGAAACTCTGCAGGTGTTCATACACACACACACACACACACACACACACACACACACACACACACACACACACACACACACACACACACACACACACACACACACACACACACACACACACACACACAATCCTTCCCACATGTAGGAATGCAGAATCAAGCTGAAGCAAATTCATGTGCGATACGACGGGCTTGTTGTTCCATTCCTGTGCTTCTGCATTAATTAATTTACTTAGATTATTGAATATAAATCTATATATATATGTCTATACAACGTGATTGTATGCAAATGATTTGATTATATGTTTTTCCCTGGAGATTAAATTTGTTGTACGTTTGTACTGTTTACGTTTAATTGAAGTCATAACATAAGCATCAACATATTATTATTAGAAGGACGCCTTTGGTGAAGAAATAACTGCAACGTGAAACCATTTGTTCACAGTGTCCCTAAATATTCACAAACCTTTTCCAGCCTGCATTTTATGTGTTTGACGAAGAAAATATAACGCATAAAGATTTTTAATAGTGTGCCATTTGTTTGGTTACTTTTGTTCCAATTTTAGCTACAAATTCTTGCTCATTTCTTTTTGCACATTAGTTCAATCAAACACGGTCAGACTGAATGGAGAAAGTCTATGAACCCTGTCTCATCCAATGATGAGCATTCCCACACCATAACACTGCCACCGCCGTGTTTCAGAGTGGAGACGGTGTGTTCAGGATGATGCGCCGTGTTGGTTTCTTGCTCAGCTTTGGTTTCATCTGGCCAAAGCACCTTTTTCCACATGTTTGATGTTTTCCCGACATGGCTGGAGGGCAAAGATGGAGCTCAGCAGCTCCTCCAGAGTAACCATAAGCCTGTGGGCGGCTTCTCTGGTTAATGGAGACCAAATAAATTTGCATGCCACTGAATTTTTATCTGTGAAAAAACATGACAACCCTATTTACACTCCACTTTGCACTGATTTGTGTTGGTGTATACAAAAGAAATATAACATTCTTTGTCATGTACGTAAATCTTTAGATATATGTTGAATTCTTATATCTAGAGAATAGAATGTTTTGCCATTTTTTCTAAATAAAAAAACTTGAATACATCTATTTCTGCAGTCCTACATCTTACACCTGTGGACATCTTTCAATCTTTTAATAAAAAACAGTAAGTGACTATATTTTCTCCTCAATCCTGGTTTGTGTTTTTAAGCTGTAGAAATGTTTGATAAAGAAGTTCAGAGGTGGTGCTGTTTGTGGCGTTTTAAGCTTTTACACACCAAACCCCAACAGATCACCATTCTGCTTGCAGGTGCAGAAGTGTGGAGCATCCATTAAAAAAGAAAAAAAAACAGTGGGTACATTTTCAGAGTGTCAGCTCACATGACTTGAGTTTTCCCCCAGTGAGGGTTTCGAAGAAAAGAGGGTGAGTGTTGGGTTTTAATGAGGTGCGATGTTCCTCTGAAGCAACATGACTCTAAGGAACAGAGACGTGCGTCCTCTGAACAGCCTCTGAACAGAACCAGTGAAATCGTATCTGAGAAAATCATTTATAGCCAAATGTTTTAAAAGAATAAAGAGGAGAAACTTGACGTCCAAACTGAAAGCTCAAGTAAACCCCCTGTGGTATTAAATGTGCAATGTTTGTCATGAAGAGCATCAGCTATCCCTAAATATAATCATCAGTCATACAGACACCATGAGGTGTGCAAAACGTCATCCAGAAGATTTCATACCGGTGGAACATGTGACCGTCCTGCAACTCGTAGCGATGCAGAAAAACGATTGGCAATTACTTAAAATCATGACCTGTTCTTTGCATTTGTCTGGAGACAAATTATATACTTCATTTTATTTCATTTATCTATTTATTTTTTGACTTTAATCAGTTGTTCCAGCATAAATTCCAACTGTGGAAGCTCTCTATTCTGATGAAACATAAACACAGAATTACCAAATATTATCATATTGAAAAAATATTTAATCTTCACAAGAACATTTTTTACAGGTTTTCTGTCTAGCGATCTGACTTTTGTCAATAACTCCAAACAGCAGGTGCAATAAACCATTTTAATGAAAACATAAGAGTCAAATCTACTATTTTACAAAGTCCATGTGAAATATTAGAATCTGCAACCCAACATATGTACAGTACAATTGAAAGCGTCTGTATGCCAGAAGAATAAAGCCCGTTTCTTGCTCCCTCTAGTGGTCAAAGCTGCAAGTCATGCTTCACACAACTACCTCACAGTAAAGAGCCGCACACGACATGATGTCCACGGGACAATCACACAAGCGTCCCTTTAAACAAATTTATGAAGATTTTCTATGACGTCAGTTCACTTCCTGTAAATCAGGATGACTCAAACAACTTCACCCTTTCTTGGGTAGAAAGGCCATCTTTTAAACTCTGAAAAACATAAAAAAGAAGAAGCTAAAAGCTGGAAAAA